CTCCTCGCTAGGGCGCCACTCGCCGCTCTGGTCGGCGAAGCGCAGGAGAGCACGGAGAGAAGAGTTGAGCTGCCGGGTGCGCGAGGGGAGGGCCTGGTGCGCCTGCTCCGTGTTGACCACAAACTGTTTTTTTGTTATCCATGTGGTGGTGGTGGTGCGGGAAAAAAGAAAACCGCGGAAAGAAGCAACAAAACAGGGGGAATTTCGTTATTTAGTGCGAGAGAACTTCGGGGGGTCAAACTATAACGAACGACAGAGACAGCAGCAGGGGCGATCGCGGAAAAAATAACAAAAAAAAGAGCCAGGTGAGTGTGTCACAGGAGTGCAATTACGCAGTGCTTTCAATTCAAACAAAGAGCCAAAGAGCGAGAAAGTGGAGGAAACGCCACCAACGACAAAAAAACACGAACACGAACACGAACAGCAACAGCAACAGCAACATCAACGTCGAACAACAGCACGGACACCAACGACAGCAACAGCAACAACGACCAACCTCGGGGTCGTCCTTGTGGGCCTTGATGAGGTCGGCGATGACCGCGTCCTCGTTAGCCTTGCCGGCGAACAGCAGCTCCACAGACAGGTACCTCTGCACGAGAGTGAGCACGGCGTGGTCCAGCTTCGCCGCGTCCTCGCACACGTTGAACAGCCGGGCCACCACGGGCTCGAAGTCCAGCTCGAAGCCCTGAGACGAGATAACGAAAAAAAAACAACAAGGCCAAAACAAAAGGACACGTCAACATTAAACGAGACGACCCCCATGGACAAAAAAAAAAGAAGACAACTGTGACGTTAGTTGTGCATGGCACAAACAAACATGCCACAATGTTCACGTACATGTACCTTGCATCGATTTAAAAAAAAAAAAACGAAATTTTCCAACGATACGATATCATACAATCGGAGCAAGCGGCTAAAACACATTACCTGCATGCCCATGTACGACATAATCGAACCAGCAAAGAGGCTAGAAAATAGCAAGTCAAATTAAATACCTGCATGGCCATGTCGAGCTTCTGGATCATGCTGTCGACGTCGTCACCAGCGTCGGCATCGGCGGTCTTGAGGTCCAGCTGCCCCGTGAAGGGCAGGATCTTCTTCACGCGGGAGGGGTCCTGATCGATCCATGCAACGCCAATAACAACACCGCCACACGGCCAGCAAGCGGCAACGGTAAGGATTCGGTTCTTGCATGTTGTTGTCGTGGGCTTCACAGTAGAAATGGTATCGTTCCGGTCTCTACTCATGGGACGCAAAAAAAAAAAGACGAACACGTCGGAAGAGCGCGCCATGTGTGTCCAACGCTACCCCCCCCCCCCCCCCCACAAGGGCCCCCCTCCCCCCCAAAAACCCAGCACCCTGGAAATGTATATATATAAATATAACAATCTCCCGCCGCTCTCCCTACCAAAAACAACAGCCCCGCCTCACTCACCGCAAGCTGCAGGGAGGCGAGGAGGTCCCCGGCTGCGATGATGGATCCGGGGGACATCTCGTGGTTGATCTTTCCCGACTCAGTGGCCTTGAGCGGCATGATCATCTTCATCGCCTCCACCTCCACGAACGGGTCCCCGGCGGCAACGTCCGCGCCGTCCTCCTGGAGGAACCGGACCACCTTCCCGGTGATGTCCGACCGAAGCTCGCTGATAATTTAGGGGATTGACGAGAAATGAGGGGGGGGGGGTGGGTGGGGTGGGGAGAGCGTCAGTCAGGCACTGTTCAAAAAGAAAAAAGGGCAAGGAGAATAACTTCTCGCTAGAATACACCGCATATGTAGCTGAAGACATGGAGGGCACGTTCAAACCTGGGGTCTCAACATACAACACTCACAACTAAAAAAAATACAAGCACACACAACGGACTTGTAGAGAGAGAGAAACCAGGCGTTTCGTGTGGAATGCATCGCCATTATTATGCCACTGGGGTCAAAAGACGTTGGGCAGAACCACGGTCTTGCCGTAGAGCTGTAGGCGCACTATCCAATATATTAACTTTCTTGATCATTCCATCAGTCTAGTCATTTTCACCCGCAAATACCGGGCACCTACCACCATATATATAGAGGGCCCCCGACTGCTGTACCTGGGGTCAAAGATGTTGGGGAGAACCACGGTCTTGCCGTCGAGCTGCAGCCGCAGGCCCATGGCCTCCTCCTGCCCGAAGATGAGGCGGCTCGTTCCCTGGAAGTTAGCGATCAGGCGGCCGTCCTTCTGTTCGCGGACCTTGACGGGGAAGTCCTACAAAAAAAAAAAAAATGTTGTTGAGAGGACCGGCGAGGGAAAAGGGATACGTCGGAGGGGGGGAGGGGATGGTGGCTTCCTAAACACAACACGATGTTGTACGTATGTAGCGAACGACGAAACTACAGGTCTTTGTCACCACTTCACCTACAGAACAAGCACGCCAAAGTACGCAACCGAGACACTAACAACAACGTGTAACGTACCAAGTAAGCCGGCGCTTCCATGCTCAAACACAACCAACCCCCCACTCACAACGGACACCCAACAACACCGACAAAACCAAACCAACAACAGTCATGAGACCAGCGAGACAAAATGGCTTCCGAAAAACAAAAAAATAACTTACATCTTTACATGCCAAACAAAGACAAGACGAAACAACCAACAAACCTGTCCGTTGATGGAGAGCGTGAAGGCGTCGGGCGCCTGCCTGAGTACGGTGAAGGAGTACTTGACCCCCTCGTACGAGATCTCCACGGGGAACCTGTTCATGCCCTTCAGCCCGATCAGACCGGTCTACTCGCCGAACGTGAACCAATTGCAGCGCGTGTGCGTTGCCGCGGGATTTTATCGAGGGGGGGGGGGAGGAGGGTGTGTGTGTGAGGTGGGTGCGAAAAAAACGCGGATCCACTCCAAGCGCTGGGAGAAGTACAATAAAAAACGATGTGTCATAAAACGTATGCGAAAATTCGATGCGTCTTGAACGAACAGCTCTCTGAGTACCACACACATACGCACATGTATATTTGCTATCCGCATGTCAACACGAGCCTCGAAACAACTGGACTCGAGTTCACCTGTCCCTTCTCAAGCTGACCGAGGTAGCGCTTCATCTCCTGCTTGCAGAAAGTGAAGGCCTTGTAGAGAGCTGCGCACGTCACCACGGAGTGAGCCTCGAACTCCACGCCCACCGACTGCTCGTTGTTGTTGTCGAGTTTTGCAGATAGATGGGGGTGATGAACATAATGGCCGACAAAAATGATGACGATGATGACGACAGAGTGCGGAATAAAAAAGAGAAGAGAGAAGAGAAGGGGAGGGGGGGGGGGGAGCAAGAAAGAGGTTAGAGATCGACAGACAGACAGACAGACAGACAGACAGACAGACAGACAGACAGACAGACAGACAGACAGACAGACAGACAGACCGACTGGTCGTCGTTGATGTGTTTTGGTAGGTCGATAGATGGGGATGATGCACACATCATGACCGACAAAAACGACGAAGACAAGAGTGCGGTAGAGAAAATATCGAGATAGTTACAGGTACAGAGAAAGTTTAAGGCAAGACACACACCGAGAGAGGGTAAACTAAGCGGGCTGCCTTCGCAACACAAGAGTCTGCGCCGACAACGGACCGAACTTCACAATTCTAGCAGCGTCAAGCCCCAGAACGTCCTATTTAGCTGAGGAGGGGAACTGACGGACAAACCCACACCTTGGCAGCGATGAGGCCGTCCAGCCAAGAGGTGTCGATGCTGTTCTCCTTGAACTCGGGCGTCTCCAGAAGCTGCACCAAGTACTCCACCGTCGTGCGGATCTCGCCTTGCACCTGAACAACGCGAGCACGAGCACGAAACGCAGCAAAAAACAAGAATTTCGTCTTGAGAAAGAAAAAAAAAACGCCCCCCCCTACAGGGTTTTCGTCGCTTGGCAACGACGTTGTAAAACAAGCCGCCCCTCCCGGTGTTTGCCATCGGGGTTGGGTTTTCGTCGCTTGGCAGCGATGTTGTAAAACAACCCGATCACTTCGTGAGCTCGGCAACCAGGTTACCGCTTTTATTTTTGCCTTTGTTTTTTCTTTTTTGCGGTAGCCATGAATGGTGGTCGGGTAGATCATGTTGTACGGGGTCGAGAACCCTCACTCCGCGCAAAGGGGATAATCGTACCACGTTGTGTTAATTCGGTCAAGCACCCTCGAGGCAGTTTCACAGTGCTTACAACTGTCTCTGTAAGTGAAGTACCAGAAAATATATTAAGTCATACGCAGCTGTCATCCGTACGCAAGGACGGAAGCACAAGATGCCGAACACCCTTGGCAGGATGCACTGCACCCTTCATGCGACTCGCCGAATACCTCACAGCGCTTCGCGCTTGGTGATGTGAGAGCCTGGTCCGGTGAGAACCCGACGTGCTCCGTCCCGGCTTTGTAGGGATGCGAGGTCAATGGTCTAACGACTACGGCATGCACGACAATGAGTACCCCCCCCTCACTCCCCCGCAGACGAAACGCAGCAAAAAACCAAGGGTTTCGTCGTGAGAACCACGAAATACGCGTGCCCCCCCCCCCCCTTTCTCCCCACACCATTTGTCGTTGCACTTCACCTCGATCTCCTTGAGGGCCAGCACGAGGTTCTTGCGGGCGGCCTCGCGAGTCGCTCCGGAGGCGAACAGGTGCCCGAACTGGCTGTCGGCGAACTCGTGGATGCCGCCGTTGGCCCCGACGGAGAAGTAACCCCACACGCTGGACGTCGACTGGAACTTCACTCGCTCGATCGTGCCCGAGGTGGGCTTGAAGCCCTGCTCTCGCGCGCGCGACGGTGCGGCACAAAAGAACAACAACGAAAAAAACACGACACAACACGAAACACACACAACTATTAAAAAAAAAAATGTTTACACTGCGCGTGTATTTTGCAGCACAAACCAAGAAACAAACACACAAAAACAAAGTACACGATAAAAAACACGCTCTACCTTTTGGGGCGTGTTGTAATAATCTAAATAGTGCAATTAACCCACTGCGCGCGACAGACTTCCGCCGTTTGAACCTTTGAGTTTCAAAAAGCGTGTTTGCGCGGTCCATGGTGTAGAATTCCCCCCTCGAGAGCCACACATCCGCCAGATCACACTACCCAACACCTTACACTACTGACCGGTGCCCTCTTCCGCAAAGATGCGTGCACATGTCCACTTCCGCCGCTTGAACCTCTGAGTTTCAAAAAGCGTGTTTGCGCGGTCTATGGCGTAGAATTTCCCCCTCGAGAGCCACACATCCGCCAGATCACACTACCGACACCTTACACCACTGCGCAGTGCCCTCTTTCGTAAAGATGCGTGCTGCTATGTCCATGCGTGGACGAGTGACTGCGCCCCCCGCTGAACTTTTTTGCTACCCTCAGTAGCCTGGGCGGGCAAAACCCTGACAAAACAACTCCGTCCCGGGATTGTAGGGGTGCGAGGTCATTAGCCGAACAACAAATAGGGCATGCGATTCATTCCATGAGTACCCCACCCTTGTCGTAAAACCGCAAAAACTTTCTTTCTCACCTCGTCCGGGTTTTCTGCGGTAACGCGGGCCGCGATGATGTGGTTGCGGATGGGAGCGTAGTCCTCGGTCATGAAGTCGATGGCGTCGTGGCCGTAGCGGTCGGCCTTGCCGTAGAACCCGCGGATGTCGGGGATCTCGTTCAGGGGGATGCCCATCGCCACCTGAAGCGTGCCAGGGGGGGGGGGGGGGGGGGGGACCCCTGTTTTTGCTGCCCCCATTTTTAAAACCTTTACCCAGGGCGGGGTGGGGGGAAAGGCTTTCAAACCCCTCCAAAACCTGCCGGTGTTGTTCCTTTAAAGGAAAAGGGAAAACGGGGAAGGGGGGGGGGGGGGGTTTTAAATTAAGGGGGGGGGGGGGGGGGGGGGGCCCCAAAATTTTTTTACCCCCCGAAAAAAAACCCCCCCCAGGGGGGGGGGGGGCGAAAGCATCCCA